CCTGTCAGGCCGCGGGCCGAGAGCCCTCCTCTCTGCCTCAGCGAGCGCCTGCCTCCAACTGACCCTCCCCGGCCGCCGCCGACGCCGCCGCAACCGCCCCGCCCCCGAGTGCCTCATCTGCATAGCCCCACCCAGCGCCGCGCGGTGTCCTGGGAAACTGGGGCCCACAACAAAGGGCACAGCACCGCCCCGCCTGCGCGCAGGCGCACCAGGGGCTGGCAGCCTGGTGGGGCGGAAGGGTCCGAGTGGAGGTTTGCCTTTGCCGGAGGCGCTGTCGTTGGAGGTGGTGATGGCCGTGGCGATGGCACGGTGGCCCGAAAGATGCGTGGTATTAAGATGCATTGCGTTTCTAGTGGGATTTGCTGCGGAATCCTTGTTTGCATGGGGACTGGCAAAACTATGCCGTTGTAGGCCTTGGAAATATTATGTTAAAATAAAATCGGAAGTATATGAGTACTCCACACCTATTAGCACCGTTCCCTGTCTCAGTCCAGCGCTCAGATCCCAGTTGCCTCCGCTCATAATGCAAGCAATAACCTCGACTGCCAGCTGAGATAACTGCATTTGGGAGATTCCTCTCACTCAGGTCAGTGGGCAAGGCCCATCACGGCTGTGGTCACCTGAAGCTAAATCTGTAGGCCATGATCACAGTCACGTCACATCACAGCAGGTGTGCAAGGCACCGTCACTCACTTGTTCACAGTCGCGCCCAGTCACAGTCCGTGCAGGTTACTTTAATCACTCACTTAAGGTTACTAAGTTCACAGTCACCTCCCGTTACTGTCCCTGCTGGTCCTTCTCACAGGTTAGTACCCAAAGGCCAGAGACACACACCCCTATCACAGTCACATCCACACAAGCGTCAAAAGCCCTGACTGTTCCCACCTAACTGCAACCTAAAAAGATCACATTATCTCAGGTCACAGTGAATTTCTGTTACCCCAAGTCATGTCCATTCATTTATTCAGCAAATAATTACTGAGCAGCTACTTACCATGTGCTTCAGGCACGTGTCAGTGGTCATCTGGGCAAGGGTCCAGCCTTGCATGTCACAATCTGGTGGGAGGGAGAAATAGCGACCATCACAATACGAGGTAAATAAGCATTTGGTCTGAGGGCGGCCCCAGAGAAAAGTAACCAGGGATGGCTTCGCAGAAGGAGTGACAACCATATCAGAGGTCACGATGACCTCCAACTCTCAATAGACTGGAAGCACGACTTTCCCACATTAAAGCCATCTCAGGACACAATTAGTCTGCTTCACAAACAACATGCTTCTGTGAATTTTTTCTTCCCTCTAGCATGGGTGTGCACTCATCACAGAGACAGGGAGGTAGAGGAGAAAAACACCCCATGAAGAACCACTTCTCCATTTCTCCCACCTGTCAGAATTCTGGACCTACTCACACACATGCCCAGTGTTTCTCAAGCTGCTAGATCCAGAACTTGAACTGAGAGGTCAGCCCATGTGGGATCCGACTCCTTAACTACCAGGACACAGGCTGGCCCTGGGCTTTCTGTGTTTTTGTTTTGTTTTGTTTTCAGTTTATTTATCCCATGAGCAAAAGGGAGAGATGAAGACCGAGACACAGTGCCCTCCCTCCAGATGGATGACTCTGTGATCTGTCCCCAGCTTCAGCTAGCCCTGGGGTGCAGTCACCTGTGTGTCCAATGTCCTCAGGAGAGCTCCGGACTAGAACTCGGCCGCCTCCAGCCTCCCACAGGCCAGTCTCACAGAGCATTGCAGTTTTCCTCTGGGCCACCAACTGCCTATGCTCTTGGTTTTTAAATGATGGGGATGTGGGGACAGAAAAAATGTTGGAGCTGCCAAACTAAGGCTTTTTCAGCAAAAATTCCAGTGGTTAATAATACCAGAGCCAAGAAGTGGCATGGTGGTTAAGGAACTGGATTCCCATATGGTCAACTGTGCCTCGAGTCCCAGACCCAGTGGCTTGAAAATCACACTAGGCACATGTGAGTGCATGCCCAAAAATCCCAAGAGGAGGGGACAGCAGGTGTCATTGCAGTTAAGGTGCTGGACTACGACATGGCCAACCATGGTCTAAATCCTGGACCTGGAGGCTTGCTTCTCACTTTCTCTCTCTCTCTCTCTCTCTCTCTCT